CATCGGTTTTGCAATGCTGGCAAAACCCTTAACAAAGTTCATGTAGTACCCAGCCAAACCGAGAAAACTGCGAATCTCTGTAGCGCTCTTAGGTGTCGGCCACTCTGAAATAGCAGCAATCTTCTCTGGATCTACTGCGACTCCTGCCTCTGAAACCACATGACCAAGAAACCCGATCTTTCTCTGCCAGAAGCTGCACTTGCTCAACTTAGCAAACAACCGATGCTCTCTCAGCTTTCCCAATACAATCCGCAAATGCTCTGCATGCTCCTCCCTGCTCCGAGAATAAACCAAGATGTCATCGATAAACACAATCACACACTTATCCAAATGCTCACGAAACACATCATTCATCAGTTTCATGAATGCTGCTGGTGCGTTCGTCAATCCAAATGGCATCACAACAAACTCATAATGGCCATAGCGCGTACGGAAAGCCGTCTTCTGCACATCTCCATCAGCTATTGCAATCTGATGGTAACCCGAAGCCAAGTCGATCTTAGAGAACCATGAAGCTCCCTGCAACTGATCCAACAACTCATCAATACGCGGCAGCGGGTACTTATTCTTGATGGTCACCTTGTTCAAACCCCTGTAGTCGATACAAAGTCTGAAACTCCCATCTTTCTTCTTCACAAATAAAACCGGTGCTCCCCATGGTGAAGTACTCGGTCTGATGAAACCCTTATCTGACAGCTCTTCCAACTGCTTCTTCAACTCAGCCATCTCTGCTGGTGCTAACCGATAAGGAGCTCGGGATACCGGTGCTGCTCCCGGTTCCACCACGATAGTCAAAACATCACTTCTAGCTGGTGGTGGCCCTTTTAAGGCCTCAAAAACATCCTCGAACTCAGCAACCACTGGAATATCATGCAACTCTTGCTGCTCATCATCATTAACCATCGAGATAGTTGCCAAAAACCCTTCGGCTCCTCTCTCCTACAACTCCTCAGCACGTAACATGGAAACGATGGGAACTCCTTGGTATGTCTGCATCCCCTGAAAAATGATACTTCCTTCTGGTCTAGGAATGCTCACTCTTGCCTTCGGGCAATCCAAGATCACGTGATGTCGCGTCAACCAATCCATCCCAAGTATGACGTCATAGAAACTCATCTCCATCTCTGTCAAGTCTCCAAGTAAATCAACTCCTCCAAGCATGACCGGTACGTCACGATGAATACCAACTGCTCCTAACTTCTCAATCCCGGCGGTCTGAATCTGCTTAGCCTTCGGTTCGAAGATACCCTGAAAAGACCAAGACTTGACTATGCGCGGACTCACAAAGCTGTGAGAAGCTCCCGTGTCGAACAACGTGTGAGCTGGCTCACCTCCAACCAAAACCGATCCTACACGAGATTTTCTAACTACTCATGGTGGCCAAGAATCAAAACATTTAAACACAACCAATCATAATGAAGATACATACCCGCTATCGGCTCTGCTCCATGTGGGTCTCCTGTAGCAAAAGCACGCGGAGCAATGGCTAAACGCTTGGCTGGCGGTGGAAGTGCTGCATTACCGCCCCTTGGGCAATCTCTGATGAAGTGACCTGGCTGGTTACACCCGTAGCAAACCGGGTTTGCCCCTGCTGGTGCTGCAGCCTGCCTGACTGGCGGAACATCCAATGGCTTACGCCGACAAAACTTCGCAACGTGTCCCAACTGTCCACAAGTAAAACACCTGGTGCACTCTCCGCTGTGACGGCGATGGCAATGACGGCAGTTTGGTAATCCAGACCGATCTCCAGCACTCCTCTGGGACTCTGGGGTCTTTCCAAACTTAGTCTGAGCTGCTCTAGAAAGTCTCTGCTCCTCTGCTAAACCGGCCTCCTGCTCAGCGGCTTTCTCAACCAAATCTCCCAATCTGTGATAAGTGACAACCCGACATCTGTTGCGAATCTCGATCCGCATCCCAACCAGAAACTTACGGATCAAGTCCTCCTCTGAAATGCCACTCCCAGCAAACCTANCTCCCAATCTGTGATAAGTGACAACCCGACATCTGTTGCGAATCTCGATCCGCATCCCAACCAGAAACTTACGGATCAAGTCCTCCTCTGAAATGCCACTCCCAGCAAACCTACGAAGTCGGTTGAACTTAACCTCATACTCCCTGATGGTCAAGCTACCCTGGCTCACATGCTCAAAGTCACTCTTCATCTTGTCCAAAGCCTCCTTAGGGAAGTACTTCTTGTCAAACTCCTGAATAAAATCAGCAAAAGTAAGCCTCTCTGCTCCACGGCTCAAACGCACTCCATCCCACCAAACTAGTGCATCTCCACGCAGATACTGCATCGCCAATCTAAGTGAGAACTCTGGTAGGCAATCGAGAATCTCCAACTTACGCTCCAGACCTAGCTTCCAATCATGCGCCTCTATCGGATCCGTCGCTCCACTGAAATGCACCATATCCATGTCTTTCATCTGTCTCGTCAGCCTGAAAAACCTATCATCGTAGCCTGGGTGATAGTGAGGTGGTGGCGGTGGTGGTGGAACATGAATACCCTGATCGAACTGATATGCTGGGGCATGCTGCAATGGAACCTGAGGAAAGGGAACCTGCTGAGCGGGAACCTGAACTGGCGGAACCTGAACTGGTGGAACCTGAACTGGCGGAACCTGAACTGGCGGAACCTGAACTGGCGGAACCTGAACTGGCGGAACCTGAACTGGCGGAACCTGAACTGGCGGAACCTCCTGCACCTGAATCTGCGGACCCTGATGAACCTGAACCTGAGGGCCCTGACGAACTGCAGCCATCTGTCTAGCAACCTCCTGTGCCGCTACTCTAGCGGCCTCCTGAGCGGCCTGCTGAACTGCCTCCTGGGCGGCCTGTCTCGCTGCATCCTGTACCATCTGTCTCAAAGCATCCTGATCAATCGGTGGTGGTGCAGGCTGCGGAACTGCGGGCTGAACATCATCATCTCCTGCCTCTCTAGCAACTCTGGTAGTCTGAGTACGAACAACTCTCGGTCTCGGTGGCATCTGAAAGGGAAACAAGTGGGTTAACTTTTATCGAACACTAATTCAAAAGGGTTAAAGAAGTGATACCGGACATAATGGTGCTATTGATTTTTATTTTGAAAATTCCCAAATCCCAAAAATCACTTTCAAAAACCATAAAATCCGATTAAAACCGAGGTCTCCACGAATCGCCATCCCAGGTCGGAGCCGGGACGGAACCACGCTCTGATACCAAAAACTGTAACACCCGATTCTTCCAAAAATAATATAATTAATAATAATTACTGAAAACATCGGATTTATTAATAATACTTAAAAGTCGACATAAACCGTGCCACATAAGTCCAACACATAAAACGGCTCAAGGCCCAATAGATAACATCCGTAATAACGTCAACAACATAAACCGAAAGTCTGAAATAACATAAGCGATAAAAGTCCAAGGCTTATAAGCCCAATACGATAAAATACGATAAAATACGATAAGATAAGATATAATACTATAGAAGCCCAAAAGCCCAATAGCACCGGTCCGATATGATCACTCCTGCTGATCGGCCTCACCTGCAAGGGGAAGAATGAGGGGTGAGCAACAGGGGAGTCGCTCAGTGAGGTATGGGATGCTACTCCGAAATAAATATAAATTAAATCTAATATGTACAAACACGGCACCTAAAGCACCCAAGCAAAACAAACAATGGTCCTAGCGAGACGCACTCGCTGCCCACAAACGGGCCAAATACAACACAACAACCACTGAGGATAGTGCCCCGGCACCGCCCGTAGACGATTTATCGACCCTAAGCTACGGCTCAACCGGTCGACTAAAGTTGGCCGTAACCCTAAAACAATCCGGCATACAGAAGTCCTTCTCTGTATCCGGCCAAACAATCCTAACTAAATGATTTACATTAAGTGAATCAATCAATGTTGAACCATCTAACCACCTCGTTCCGGTTTAGGCACAGAACCTAAAACTAAGCAGGCAATGACAGACTCGATTTCACGCAGACGGAACATAATAGAAATAAATTATACTTATTTAAAATCCTAAGTCACGTACGAATCGTTCGGAAGTAGACCCTCACCTTAGCAACAGGGGAAAAGTGGTCTCTATGAACTCCAGCTGCTCAAATAGATCCCAAATCTGAAATCAGATCGAAATTCCGAGTCAGTTTGACCTTCGAACGGTCGAAAACGGGCAATTTCGGAAAAGTCAACTCGCAGGTCAAAGGTCAACCCGGTCAACTCTGACCCAAGCCGGTCAACCCTTGACCAAATTGAAATCGAATTNCCTAACCAAGCTAACCAAACCTAAACCGGTTGACCGAGTCAACGGTTGACTCGCCGAGTCAACTCGGCCGAGTTGACCGAGTCGCCGGCGAGTCACCGGACTCCGGTCACCGGTCCGGCGAGGACGCGGCGGCTTACCGGCGGAGGAGCGGCGGCGACGGCGCGGCGGAGGAGCGGCGGCGACGGCTTCCCGGCGGCGGCGGCTCCGGCGAGGCGACGGCGGAGCTCCGGCGAGAGGCGGCGGCGCGTGGCTCACACACGCGCGCGCGAAGGGGAAGATTGCGGGGGCGCGTGACGGCGGCTCCGGCGTCGGATCTCGGCGTTTTCGGGGTCTACGGCTTCGTCTCGACGAGTAGAACACGATGGTACCCTTGCATTCACGAGATTCTCAACGGTTAGGAAGTTATGGTCTATTTACTAAACGGATCAAAACTTAACTAAAAACGTGGCGGTTTCCGGTGGTTACCTAGGCTGGGGGTCGGCGGTGACGAGCTGGACGGGTACTCTGGTCGTGGTGTCTCCGGTGACGAGCTCAGGCGAGTCTATCTCTACAAAACCAAACACTCTTTCTCAAACTCTCTCTCCAAACTCTCTCTCTCTTGCATGAAAATTTCTGAGAAAACAAGGTGGTGAAAATAGCTTTTATAGCTACTACCTTTGGCCAATTCGGATGGGCCTGAGGCTTGGGCCGAAAATGATGAATTTTGTGGGTTTGGGTCTTGACATTATTGTTCCTCATTTTCAAGGGTAATAGCCGGTGAAGGTGAATCCTCTGCCGATGATTTCACCTGCACAATACCACGCAAAGCATTCAAGACCAAACAATGCAGCGATTCCGGCATCTTCTACGTTAAGATCGGTTCTGTTCTTCCACAAGTTCTTTGCGTAGTCTACTTCCTTCCTGAAGGTTTCACAGTGTCCAGAAATGCTGTGTAAATAAGGAGTGAAAAAAAATAGTAAGATTACTGAGAAAAGCCACACTAAAACTTTGATTTTAATTCCGATGTATAAGAGGAGACATCCAAGTATGTCATTATTAGTTCCAAGAAACAGTCTAGACAGCAGTAAGTGTTATGTTACTAGTCTAGATGGAAACCCCAAGTGTCACATGTCCTCACAGCATTCATGGCTATTTTTGCAACTCAAAGATTGTTTACTGATCCAAAAAAAATAAAACCTCACTAACCAGAATCTAGAATTGGTTATATTTATACTCTTAATACTGAGAAAAATGCTGAGAGACAAGGCCGATCCCTGAGATTTTGGGGGCCTGTGACGATTTTTTTATAAATTTTTGGAGGCCTCAGACGAATGTTTCACTAGACATGCCCCATCTTCACAATTAACCTAAATCCTGCAAAGTAAAATTAACTAAAAAATGTAATATGAAGAATTAACATCAAAGACAGAGACTTTCTTATAAAATTCACACAAAATTGAGATAAAAGACCCAAACATTAAACCCCTAATCAGCAATTAACCAAACAAAAGTAGATTTGGTAAAAACCCAATTGAGAATAGAACATTTCAAGAAGATACCTTTTGTGTGCAAATTGAGTTGTTGATTTGGGGAAGGACTTTTCTCTTCTCTCCGAGGGTCTCAACGACGGCTACTCTTCGATACGATGCCGTTTTCGTCTTCTTTTCCGCGGTTTGTCCCAATACGATATCGTATAGGTAATGGTCACGAAACGACGGCGTTTATGGTAATTTCGAACCGGGAGGGACGAAATTTAACCGGTTTGGTAGCGTGTGGACGTTAATGTCAACCGGTACAGAAAATATCTTCAGACCGATTTTAATTCGAACCGGGATTGAAGATGTTGATTTGGGGACTTGTCTCTTTTCTCCGAGGATCTCAACGACGGCTACTCTTAAATACGTTCGTCTTCTCCGCGCTTTGTCACAATACGACAACGTATATGTAAGTGTCACGAAACGACAGCGTTTATGGTAATTTCGAACCGGGATGGATAAAATTTAACCGGTTTGGTAGCGTGTAGACGTTAATTTCAACCGGTACATAAATATCTTCAGACCGATTTAATTTCGAATTTAAAAATTCGTTAACAGGAGAGAGAGAAAAACAAAACCAAAGTGACTTTCCTTCTTCAGGTTGTAAACTAAAAAAAGCTTGTGGCGGCTTCCTAAAACCCTAATCTTTCCACTTCCATCTATCTCTTCCTTCATCTGTGAGAAGAACTAATAGAAACGATGACTAAGAAGAACAACAACGAGGAAGAAGGAGAGTTCGTTAGCTTTGGTCACAATCTAAACACGAAGATACGTTTCGAAGACGAAGCTGCACAAGGCTCCGGTGAAGCAGCAGCACAAGATGAATCCATGTGCGACGCCGCCGTTGAGAGCACTGATGATACCACAAGCGCTGATTACTACTTCGACTCTTACTCTCACTTTGGTAAGATGAATCCATGTGTTCTTTAGTTATCAACTTCTTTGCTGAATGTTTGACTCTGTTTTTATCTGTTTTTTTGTAGGGATTCATGAAGTAAGTAATCTTTTGCCAGATTCTTCCATAGTAATTGATTATCTGATTCAATTGAGGATTGGTATCTGTTACAGGAGATGTTGAAGGATGTAGTGAGAACAAAGACTTATGAGAATGTTATTTACCAAAACAAGTTTCTTATAAAGGACAAAGTTGTTCTTGATGTTGGTGCTGGCACTGGTATCTTGTCTCTCTTTTGTGCCAAGGCTGGTGCTAAACATGTCTACGCTGTAATGTCTCTCTTCATTACTCTTTTTTTTGTTTTCAGTAAAGTGATTGAATTGATTTGGTTGAGTTATGTTCTTTACTAGGTTGAATGTTCTCAAATGGCTGACATGGCTAAAGAGATTGTTAAAGCCAATGGTTTCTCTGATGGTACTTCTTACAAATTTTTGTATGAGAATTGAAAAACAACTCCTTTGTGGTTATAAAGGTTTGGTTTTGTGGTTGCAGTTATAACGGTATTGAAAGGGAAGATTGAGGAGATAGAGCTTCCTACTCCTAAAGTTGATGTAATCATATCTGAATGGATGGGTTACTTTTTGTTGTTTGAAAACATGTTAGACAGTGTCTTATACGCTCGCAACAAATGGCTTGTAAGTTTACATTAGAGAGATGAGCATATGGTTTCATGTCCTTGTGTTATAAGCAACCTTGCCCTGTTGGTATCATTTATAGGTTGATGGTGGCTTTGTGTTGCCTGACAAAGCCTCTCTGTTTCTTACAGCCATAGAGGATTCAGAGTATAAAGAAGACAAAATTGAATGTAAGCTATCTCTCATTGATATGACTCCTCTGTTCAACATTTATTTCCATGTTTGTAGACAATAATTGTATTTTGTGTGTTTCTACTTCAGTTTGGAACCGTGTGTATGGTTTTGACATGTCATGCATCAAGAAAAAGGCTATGATGGAGCCGCTTGTTGACACAGTTGACCAAAACCAGATTGTCACTGATAGTAGACTACTTAAGGTTAGATATACACATTGATGATAGTGATTGATTAGTAGTATCTTTGTTACATATGGCTAATGCTCATTTTGTTTTGATAACAGACGATGGATATCTCAAAGATGTCCTCTGGTGATGCTTCCTTCACAGCTCCCTTTAAACTAGTTGCACAACGTAATGACTACATCCACGCACTTGTAGCCTACTTTGACGTGTCGTTTACCATGTGCCACAAGCTTCTAGGTTTCTCAACAGGACCAAAATCACGGGCTACGCACTGGAAACAAACAGTCATGTACCTTGAAGATGTGTTGACGATATGTGAGGGTGAGACAATCACTGGGAGCATGTCGGTTTCTTATAACAAGAAGAATCCTCGAGATGTTGACATTAAGCTAAGCTACGCTTTGGATGGTCAGCATTCCAAGGTCTCAAGAACTCAACACTACAAAATGCGTTGAAGCTCTCTCAAAATGAAGCAGAGCTTTAGACTGAAACTGAGAAGCTACAGTTTCTCAAATTGTGATATTTGTTTTTGTATTTTTTTTTTTCTTTAAGTTTTGCAACATTCCCTTTGCTTCACAGTTTACACTGCTACATTTGTCTTCATGCTTCTGAGTTTGAGATTAATGTTTTTCCCCTAAACCATCATCTCTTGTATGTGTTTGTCTTGTGTTACAGAACTGGGTGCTGGTCAACGCTTAAGTGACATGTTTGTTAGGTTGAGAGGATTAACTAAGTTTTTTATTTGTAGAGAAAACGAACTAAGAGATTAACTTGATTGCAATGAATATTAGTGTTGAAAGAGTTAAATATTAGTATATAAATTTTTAAGCCAAGTTTCCCAAGTAGTCTTATTTGAACATTATATTCATCTGTGTATACATTAAGCGTATGGATCTTAGCTCTTAGGCCACTGGGAGTTTTCTGAAATAAACAATGTACATGTTCTCTCAAGTTACCTGAAGAAAACAAAACCAGTGAATACAGTTTTCTCAAATTGAAGATGTTTCTGGTGAAAGGGAATCACTGCGGACAGAATCTTAGATGTGAGGAAGCTCTTGTCTGTCCATGTTCAGACATGCCACTTTACCAACTTCTCTCTTTGTCACCAGGTTTTCCCTTCATCAGTACCGGACTAACCTTTTATACTGCCCCAATCAAAATTTTAAACTATGCCCTTTTACAAATTTTATGAAGATCACAAAACAGTATAAAAACAACTTAATTTTTCATTAAAATAGAAATTAAAGTTCATAGTTTGTTTATAAAAAAACTGTGACAAAAACATTTATTGTTAAATATATATATATTTGCCTTTATTTCTGAAAAATCATCAGTTAGTTTTTTTTTTTTTTTTGAAACTGAAATCATCAGTTAGGTTTTTCTAGTCAATTTTTCAACTATATGTTATATGACCATCATCAAAATCCGTGAACACAATCCAAAAGTATTATCGTAACAAAACCAAGGCAAGCTTATATCACATTTGAAAACGACGAACTAACAAACATATCTTCTTATTACTTAGAGGATAAAACAACTGAAACACTAGAACTAAATCATGTATTAAGAGTTCAGAGAAAAGGAAAAACTAGGATAAAACAAAACGATGCACAAGAATAAATTGAAAAGTTGATTTTAAAAAACCTTTTGTTTACGATATTCGCTATTGGGACCAGTATGGTGTTACGTAGGCCCAAACATTCGCCGACATTTATGTACATATATAAATTACACGCAAAAGATACTAAAACTACAAGTTCTAACGGCGAGAGATTAGTTTCTTCAAAAACCCTAATCTTCTTGTACACTATCATCTGATTTTGTTGTCTCTGTTAATATTATGTTGCTATAGAATTCGTGAAGTTATTCCTAATTTATTTTTAAAAAATATATATTTGTTTCAGCTAAGAAGACACTCTTAATATCGTGTGATTTCCAGAGCAACTTTGTGGTTAACTATGGTAAGTGGATTTACACCCCTTTCATTATCTGAGGAAGGTTTGATATATTTCATCTTTGTTTAATTCCAGCATTAGAAGGTACGCCAAGCTTTTTTTTTTTTTTTTTTTTTTTGGTAAAATGTTAAATTAGTATTACCAGTTTTTGAATTTGAGACAGAATTTACAAAGAAGAACTAGTAGCGGAAGAACAATAAAGAAACTAAACAGACCTAGTCGGATTGAAACAAACCCATAAAGTAGCAGAGCAGACCCGCAAAGCTTGGTTAGCAACGGGTCAAGCTTGGACCAAAGAAACCGAGAACAGTCTCAAACGAGGATCAGGCACCGCGAGCTACCGGAGAGAAAGGCGCCCTCAAACCTTGAAACAACGGCTCCTACAGCTTCCGACCACTATGCCGAGACTAGACCAGTACGAAGAATCCGAGCACGAACAAACCCAAACCACCCGACAACTATGCCTCCGACGGCACGAGAGAGAACCACCGACCACTAGCTTTTTTTTTTTTATCAAACTGAATCTTAATTAATTAGGTTTAGGGAAGAGTTTCTTTGTTAATCTGCGAATTAATTATCTTAAAATTAACCCCCAAACATATCAGATTATTGATTATGTTTCGTTTAAAATAGAGGTTGATTATTGATTATATAACCTAGGGTAAAAAAAAAAAGCATACATTAACAAAACAAAATTGCAGGCGAGGAGGGGACATATTATTTACGAGCACACCTTAGAATACTACGAGAACCGACTCAAGCAACTAAAAAAGGTTAAACGAATGCTGAACAAAAGTACCCTTTTTATTGTTGGAGTCATATTGTTCGCGGCGGGTTGGTACGGAGGTATGATAACAGTTCGAATGTTTCAAAACTGAGAGTGGAGATTTGCCGCTGGTGTTTTTCATCAGACGTATGATGATTGCAACGTGTTTTCTTTTCTTTTTGGTTTTGTTTATTTTTTTATTTTTTGTTTAATTTCCTCCCCCTAAAAATAAAAATCAAAGCTTTATCACCTACTCCCTCCCATACAATATAATCTATGTTTTATAAAAAAATAATTTGCTTATTTCATATTTTCAATGTATCATTTATTAAAATTATATTGGTTAAAAGTTACGGATAACAACACTACAAACAAATAATAAATTGGTAATTTACAATTTATAAATTTAATAATATATTGGTAATTTAAAATTCATAAATTTTCTTAATATGTGTGAAAAATATTAAAACATGCATCTTATTGAAACGGAGGGAATAAGTATTAGCAAACAATTAAACAAAAACAATTCTGATTATGGTAGGAGATAATTAGCTCTATAAACAAGCAACTGTAGTAAACTACCAAATGTTAAAGGATCTTCATGCAACTGTAGTAAACTACCAAATGCTAAAGGATTTTCATGGATATGAGTGCAGTTAATTATAATCTAAAGGAAACAGATTAGACTGCTGTTCACTGTATTGTTAAATGCATTTGAGAAGAAGCTTTTGTAACTATCAAAGTAGTCTTAGTTGAATATTATATTCTTTTACGTGTATACAACGGTTTGGATCTCAACGTTTAGGCCACTGGGAGTTTTCTGGAGTAAACAACGTACATAGGATCCGAACGTCCTGGATTTGGAGATATATCAACGGCCTGAATTGGTCACAAGTTGAAAATGAATCTCTATAAAAAAGGGTTTCTAATAGAAGGTGTGTTGATGAATATATATATATAGAAATACATACCTGAGGAGGTTCATAACCACCAGCAGCATAGTGGAAGTATGACCCAACGATGAGAGCATGATCTGCGTCACCAGTCGATGTCCAGATCGAGATTGCTTTAGTAAAGAAGCAACGGTTGGAGAAGCTGCAGAGATAAGACAAGAGAGGAAGTGATGGGTTTGAATCCAAACAAGACTTTGGCAGGTTTGTGTTATTAAAGAGAACCAACCTCATTAAAGCGAGTCCTCCTGGCTTGAGGATCCTGTTCATTTCCTTGAAAACTATAAGTGGCTTTGTAAGATAATCCACACTCACCTATTGAGATACCAAGAAGCACATTGGTTGGTCATAACTTGAGTTTTAATTAAGAAGTTAACTTCTAGAAAGTTTGGTCTTACCACATTGGTAATAACTTGGAAAGAATTGTCTTCAAAAGGAAGGTTTGGATTGACGTTCAAGTCTTGTACTATGTACTCGGTGAGAACCTGAGAGAGAGATAGAATAAGATCCAATGCTATGATGACCGAACCAAACCAAAATCTTTGGTTTTGGTTCAGTTCGGTTTGGAGGTTCGGTTCGATTCGGCAATTTAAAAAAAAAAATCTTAGCCAAACTTTTGAATCGAATTAACTAAGGTCTGAACCAAAATTTAACCGAATTTGAAAACTTAGGTCTAGGTCGGTATAAATTTTTGAAACCATAAAAACCGAACCAAACTTTTACGGTTAATTTGTAAGATTTCGGCTAAACCAAATTCCGAACTAACCAAACCCACAGGCCAAAATGATCCAGTCCCATCCCTAAATGGTAAATAAATATAGAAAAAAATTTAATCTTATTTACCGGATTGCGCTTGAGTTCTTCTTCATTCATACCCATTCCAACTATTCGTTCTTGCTTATACCCAGCTGGATAATGACTTACCTATGTAAATAAACATCACAAGAACCAAATAGTATTATTAACTTCAAAGTCTTCTCAAGAAACTAAAAGAATTTGCATTTTAGTGCATGCGTACCCAACTGCTACACATATCAAGTATGCTCACTCCAGGAGTTTCACTCTCAGGCAGAACCTTTGAGTAATACTTTGTCAATGCAGCTATTGCTGGATCATCAATGTGTGTCACAAACCGTGGAGCTTCATAGAATGTTAAATCAGACGACCTGAAGAAAAAAACCCACAACATAATTCAAACAGAAGTCACAAGATATCTCTCAATATCTCTGAAAGAAAAACAGAGTAATAAAACAGAGTAAGAGACAAAAGCTTACTCGTCAAATCGCTGGAAATCTTCTTCTTTAAAAGGGAAACTCTCAGGCCATTCCACCTTACTCAACGCCTAGATTCAAACCAATAAGTTCGATTTCAGACACTTTTCACAAAAATTTTAAATAAAATCAAAATGTATGCTCTGTTTAGTTCATATGCTACTAGAAACAGAGCACAAAAAATGCCTTAAAGCTTAGGTTTTGATACGAAGCTATGATTGGAACTAAGAGGAGGGAGTGAGAAGAAGAACCTGTTCGACGGGAGAAGGATTCGTCTGCCTCGCGGAGGCGATGAAAGATTTGCCGCCAAGATTACCGGACATGTTGTTCATCCACAACGAAGCGCCGGTGAAACCGCCGAGAACAAGCCGGCGACGTGAAGAAGCGCGAATCCAACGGTCGAGAGGCTTCGAGGCAGAGGTTTGGAGATTCAGAGCAGAGGAGGTTGAGAAAAACGGTGGGAGAGGATTGGATCTGAGTCTGAGGCAAAGAAAGTTATAAGTTTTCGACATTGTGGTGGACTTTTGTCTGGTCTCGAATAGGACTTTTCAGGACAGAACATGATGATGATGAGATGGTGAAGATGACGATGAGATGTCTAGTGATCCAAACCCCTCTTACGTGGTCGTTTATTTACACTAGGTTCGGGGAAGAAAATGGAATAATGTAAAATAATAGGTCTTTTCTGGGAAAATGGCTGATTAATACCTGAACTATAGTCATATTGTCTGATCAATACTCAAACTATTTTACCGTGCGAATTTGTATC